GCGCGCTCCTCCCCCTCCCCCAAACGCGCCCTCCCCACGGCTGGCGAGCGCCCGGCCAGAGCCCACCGGCTCCCGGCGTATCCCGCCCCCTCCCGGCACGCCCCTCCCTCCCGGGCGCACCCCTCTAGCCCCAGAGCGCGCCCTGCCCCCTATCCGGCGCGTTCCGCCTCCTCGCGGGAGCGCCCTCCCCATATCAAGGCGCGCGGCCCGCAGGAGCCCGCCCCCTTCCCGGACGCGCCCCCCCTGGCCCAAGAGCGCGCTTTGGGCGCGTCCCCGCCCGTGAAGGGGAGGGCTGTGCTCCCCACGTGGTCGAAGTGGGGGTGAGGGAGCAGCCGGCCCCGCCCCCCGGCCACGTGCGCGACCCTTCCCCCCTCTCCCGTTTCTCTGCTTCCAGACCTTCCTTAACCGCGCCCCGGGGTCCCCTCGCTCCCCTCTCTGGGGGTACTCCTCGTCGCTCTCAGAGCCCTGTGGGCCTCCCTGGCTTGCCACTGGACGCCCCGCGTCTGAGCCCGGGAGAGGTGGGGCCGCTTTGCTCCGCTTGGGTGACGGGAACCTGCGTTACTCTTTTTTCCAGCCCGTTCAGGGGTTACTCGTGCGCACCCCGTCGAGAGCGGGGAGAGCCTGGGTCCACCCAAGAGGGCCGGGGGCTAGGGTTGGGGGTCGGGAAGGAGAGCCTGGCAAGGCCGCAAAGGAAGGGGCGGGGAGGGCCGCCTGTGCGCGGACAGCGCGGGTCTGAGCGCCTCATGGCCACCAGCGTCAGGGCCATCGCCTCTTGGCCCTGGCATGGATCCTTGGGGGGCTCAGGCAGGGAAACTGAGGCTAGCGAGTGTGCTTCTGAAAGCCGCCGCGGACGTCCATCCTAGCCAAGTTGTTTTTTTAGCGGCGAAGACACCGGAGGCACGGATGATTGCCCCTTCCCGCAAAAATCCGCAGACCCTAGGCGGCGGGCGCGCGGAAGTGGGGGCGAAGGCTCGGCCCCTGCACAGCGACCGCGTCCCCGCCCTTTCCCAGCCTAGCCGTGCAGTGGCGGGAGTGACCTCCAGGGGGCGAGCTGCTTCAGCGTCTTTCCTCCCTGTGGGTCACCTCTGCCTGGTCTGAGACCTGTCCTGGGCTGGGTGTGGGCAGCCGCCGTGACCTTGGCCCCAGTCCCATCCTCTCCACCTGCAACCCCAGCGCAGCCTTCGGGACCGCCTCCGGCGTGGCCACTGTCCCCTGGATCTCTCAGCCAGACTGGAACCCCAGTGTGCCCAGTACGTGTGGCTGCACCGAGAAGAGGCGGCGGGGCGCCTCGAAGGGCGCACTGTGCCGAGAGACAGGTGAAGCCAGGTACGGGCTGCATCGTGGGTAAAGGAACCCACCGTGGACCACTTGATCGGCATTCCTGCCGACAGCCCCTGTGCCCTCCGGTCTAGGAGGTGGCTCCTCTGGACAGGCCATCCAGTCCCCTCCGTCTCAGCAGCTGGGGGGGAGGGGCTGAGCCGAGCTTCCCCCACGCCAGGAAGTCCCTGTTCAATGCTACCTTGTCCCCACCGACGGCCCCAGGAGGCGCATCGCGACCTCCACACTACAGAGACACGCCTGTGCTGGCGCGGCCACCAAAACCCCCAGCAGTGCGAGAAGCAGGACGGGTGGGGGCGGGGGGTGGGGGGTGGCTCAGCCACAACGCAGTTGGTTCCTTCTGCTGAGGTTTATTGGGCCTGAGAGGGACTCCCGGCTCTGCCCTGGTGAGGCTCACGCTCTAAGGAGAACGAAAGGGTCAGATCACCGTACAGGTGAGCTGGGAGGAACAGACCACGAAGACATCGCTTCTGCCGGAACGAGGCCTCTGAGATACCTAGGAGGCGAGTGGGCGGGCGCACGCGCGGCTGATGTGCGTGAGCCCCCGAGGCCCGTTCGGCAGATGGCAAGGAGCAAGGACAACAGCAGGTCATAGGGAGTGATGCCATGTCAAGGGATGCCGAGGTCAGGGTCAGCCTCTCATGTCCATGCCCTCGCTGGAGATAATCAGGGTTTTGAGCCTGTAGCCTCCCCATGTGGGCCTGCCAGCCGCCCTGCGGGCAGACGCCCCCATGGGAGGGGGCCTGGGGACACGCTACAGTGGGCATGGCTTCTGGCCCTTGGGGGTCGGGGGGGCATTTATAGTCAGGTGGAGCCAATCCACGCACACCTGGCGCGGCCAGGCACCTCCTCCGCCCCGCCCCCTCGTGCTCCATTCTACCAGGGAGAAATCACGGTGGGCAGAGCACCAGGGAGGCGCTTGCTGGCGCTTACAGCTAAGCGCAGTGGCAGAGCCCTGAAAAATACAGATGCAGGCTACCTGAGCATAAACCCTCACCAGGCAGGACTTTAAACCTCAGTTTCTCCATCATCTATAAATGGGTCCCTGTAAATCTGTCATCTGTAAACCTCTCCCTGGCAGCATCCTAGGGGTTCAGGGAGACAGCAGGCAGGTACCCCTGCAGGGGACAGGGCAGGAGAACAGGGGGAGAGGTCTGTCCCAACTGTCTGTAGGCCAGGCCCCACAACCCTGCGTGAAGGGAGGGCCAGGACCACACAGTTTCCTGGGGCGCAGGTGAGGACAGTGGTTACATATAAACTAGGGCACGTGGACACCCCAAATGTTGGGGTCAAAAGAAAGGATACCATGTTATTGTTAGTGATGCCATGTGTTGGAACTGCCCCATGGGGTTTCCTAGGCTGTAATCTTGATGAAAACAAAAATCCTCACAACTGGACCAATAAGCAGTATTACGATAAATGGAGAAAAGATTGAAGTTGTCAGGGATTTAACGCCCACGGAAGCAGCAGTCAAGAAATGAGATGACGTAGTACACTGGTCAAATCTGCTGCAAAATCCTCTTTAAAGTGCTGAAGGGCAAAGACGTCTCCTTGAGGACTAAGGTGCGCTTAACCCCAGCCATGGTACTTTCAGTCGCCTTGTGTACATGTGAGAGCTGAACAGTGAATAAGGAAGACTGAAGAAGAGTGGAGGCTTTGAGTTGTGGTGCTGGTGAAGAATGCTGGAAGTACCATGGCCTGCCACAAGAACTAAGAGGTCTGACCTGGAGGAAGTGCAGCCAGAATTCTCCTCAGAAGCAAGGATGGCCAGTCTTGTACTTTGGTCATATTATCAACTTTTTAAAATCCATGTGTACTTTTTCCACTTTTATTTTTTAAAATATAAACGGATTTTGTTATTATGCATCTTTGTGTTGATTTCAACTCCTAGGGACCCAGTGTGTGTTGACAACAGAACTGCCCCATTGGGTTTCCTAGGCTGTCAGCTGTACAAAGCAGATCTCACCACGTCTTTTTCCCTCAGAGCTGCTGGTGGGCTTAAACCGCCAACCTTTCAGTTATCAGCCAAGTGCTTAAGCTTTGTGCCACTAGGGCTCCTCAGCAGGTACCTAGGCAGTAAAGTTATGGTCCACTTTTCTTTTCTTTTCGACACTTTTCTGTACAGATAATGAAGTTTTAAATAACTCTTTGCCCTTGAGTGGGGGTGGGCGCAGTGCCTTGCTCTGAAAAGATGGAACACGAGAGGGAAAAAGTGACCTGTGGTCCCACGTCACCAGGTGACCCAGGTGAACATCCCTGGTGGTCACGTGGTGTCAGGGAGCCCTGACAGGATGTGGTTGGGGCACTTAATTTCTGTGCATGTATGGCCTCGCTTCAGGGGACGTTTGGGGGCTTAGAGGTGAGCCACACGCTGCAGACACTGACCAGATGGGGCGGGATCCACTGCTTTGCCACCTGCCTGTCACTGGAGGCATTTGAGGGTGTGCCCCCAACCTGTGTGTGCATCCTCTTGCAGACAAAATACAGGAGGCCCTGTATGCCACGGAGCTGACGCTTTGGGAGGTCAGGCTTTGGTGGCTGAGGCTTTCTGAAGGGACTCCATTCCAGGTTCTCCTCCACAACACACTGCCTTTATTTTCAGTCTGATGTGTGTTAAGTTACTTACCATCATGCCGCAGCGCAAGGGGGACATGAGGGCTCAGTGTGGGACTAAGGTCATACACCAGGCCCTGGGAGAGAGTGGGCACATGGCTGTCCCTGTCCTCTCCTTGCAAGCACGTGTGGAAAGCTGCTGGCACCAAGAGGGGAATGCCTTCAGGGGTTCACAGGTCCTGTGTGTCAAGGGCCAGCCTAGTCATTCTTGGGTGGAGGTGGCAGGGGCAGGACCTATAGGGCTCTTCTGCCTCCTTTCACTTGCCGATTCCTCCCTAAGTGACTTTTAAAAAACATTTTTGTTGTTGCTGTTGATCTACGCAGCAGCACACACCCCAATCCAACCAACCGTTTCTCCACGTACACGGTTCAGTGACATGGATGACATTCCTCGAGTTGTGCAGCCATTCTCATCATCCTTTTCCGAACCGTTCCTTCCCCATGAACATGAACTCACCACCCTCTGAGCTTCTCATCTAACCTTTCGAGGGGGTGTCAATCTGATCCCACAGAGATGGTTCTTCAGAAGGGCACAGTGCCCAGGGCAGACATTCTTCCCTAATGAAGCGGAACCGTTGTTTGGTTTAAAGACTTCAGGGTCTGTTTTTGACTCAAGGTCAAAGGGTATTGCAGAGCAACAGTTCTGTGGGTTTATCCAGCCTCTAGAAAATCTGCTTTCTATGAAATTTTTAAAAATCTGTTCTGCATTTCCCAGCTTTTGATCAAAGATTCTTTTAGAGAGTCTTTGATCCAAATGCTCAGTAATGGTAGCTGGGCACCAGCCTGTTCTTCTGGGCTCTTTCCCGGTCTCAGGTCAGGGAAGGCAGTAGTTCACCCTACGTGTCTTTTCACCTGTGTCTCCAGAGACTTGGGACGGAGGTTTCTGGTCAAAGACTCCCTAGAAGGAAGCTAGTCCCAGGCACCCCCAAGATGGTCCTGTTGCATCTGTGGGGGTGCTGACGGGCCTGGCACTGGGGTCACCTCCCAGGCCCCTCGCCGCTTTGCTTTGCTTGTTTAGAGATGCGGAAGAGTTCACAGAGCTCCCCCCACTGTCACTTGGGCCACGGGGGTGCTGAGGTTTTAAGGATAGAGCACCCCTGCCCAATGCACCCAGCTGTGTGCCCCGTGGACGTCCTCACACTCTGGGGACACGCCACCCCTCATCCACACTCCACTGTGTGGGCAGACGGGCAAAAAGTTGAGCCTGGGGTCTATGCACAGAGCCCTGGCTAGCAGGGCAGACTGGGGCCTAAAGTTAATTTAACCCAGAACCACCAAAGGCCAGCCAGGGGCTCAGGCCTTCTCCCCTTGGGACAGCTGGCCTGGCCATCTCACCTGTCAACTGGGAATGTGACCCCAGCAGGTAGGGTCATTGGGAGAAGTAACTTGGCACAGGGCAGGAGCTGTAGGCACTGAAGGGGACAGAATTATGTGGGTGATGGGACCCCTCAGGGTCCAGCGTTGGCAGCACTAGATGGACCCCCACAATGGACAGATTCGTCCTGGATGCTGACAGATGCTGAGTGTGTCCCTAGGGCCCCAGGCGGCAGACTGTACTTTTTGCCTTGAATTAGGACGGATGGCTTCATTTCATCAATTTCTACAAAGAACCTATGGGATAGATGCTGCAGTCCTGTGACAATTCCTGAAGCCACCTGTGGGAGACTGTCAGAGTCCACCATTACTCCCAACAGCACCGTGGAAGCTGCCCTCCACTTCTGGCTGGATTCCTGGCACTAGCCACAAACCACTTCCTGTCAGCCCTTGCACAGTGCTATGGCCACAAGGCACGCATGTGAAATCAGGGTGCCGGGT